ACCGGTTCCCGCTTACTGGCTGAGCGAGGTGCGGGCACAACACCGAGGGTTGTGATTCCGTTGCCGGTCCTGGTCCGGTCCGGGTGCAAAACTGAGGGTTGCGATCCGTTGCCGGACACGAAAAAAGACAAAAAAAAAATTCTGAAAGGGCTTCACTGAATACAATTTCTTATTTGAGTTACCTGCACTCTAACCGAGCCTTGCCTGAGTTCCTGCATTCCCCCCAAAGCTCATCTTTTGTGGATGTCCTGTTCTTTCGTGCCTCTTGGCAGCAGTCACCTTCTCCAGTTAAACTAGGGCTCCTGCATCAGATTTATCAAGGGTGGAACCAGTATGAGGAGCCTCCTAACACAGCCCTTGACACATAGAAGTTATTCAGTAAATATTTGCTGAATTGATCCCAAGCCAGTATCCTGATATATACTTTCTGATTCCTGGTTCCGTGCACTATTCTTTGTACCCAGGCTTTTCAAATGGAGGTATTTGAACTGAAGATATAAGGTAGAGTAACAGCAGGACATAAAGACTCAGAAAAACATATCTCCCCAGGTTGCCAGTTATTCCTGAGAATTAGGGGAGGAAAATGTTTTTGCATTTAATCAAAGCAGATATATTTTGGATGGGAATAAAGAATTCAAATGAGTTTTCAGGGTAAAATGTGAGGCTGCAAAGAAATTTGTCTTTGCCATGGATCCCATTGGACCACGCCTTGAGTGTCTTAGGGAAAGGGATGGGTGTACTCTTTTGGCTCCTTGAGATACTTTGAGAATATTTGAAAGACAGTTCAGCCACCTGCTTCGTGTGGAATGCCCTTCTCTGTACTAGCTCTGTGAGACAAGCGTGACTGTGCATGAAAGAATTCCTGTTATTCTGTATAGAAGAGGCGTTTCACATTTTTCTCTTGATTGAAGTTCCCTTCTACACATTTATTTGTGTGGGTATATGTTAGTTTTCCAAGGGGAGTTAAATTATTGAAGCCCCTACTATAAATCTATTTATTTATGAAATACTTTGGAATACAGTCTTCTTTGTAAGTTGTATTATGTAGATTAGTCACCTTTCAAGTGGAATAAAAGAAATTGAAACTCCTATTTCCTGCCCAGCTGGGCTCCATGGGATGCCCGTGCATGGTGGGGGTGTGGGGGAGAATGCTGAGATGGGGGTGGGGTTGAGGTGCAGATTGGCTGCACAGGTGGTGTCAAGTTGTGCGAGCCTGGTGCACTCTCCTCTTCCCTCCCTGTAGAGAAGCAACCACCACGTGAAGATCTCCCACAAGAGAGTAAGGAAGACTTTAGTATTCAGGGAACTGCAGCGCTCAACCACTTGGATCAGCCCACACCTGATGACACAGGAGCCTCAGAGGTATCACAGAAGCCAGATAATGAGAACAACTTAGACCCAGGTAAAGCCTACTCATTTTTGTCCACAAAGTAGAGACACATCATAGAGAAAACCTTCTAGGAGATTTGTAGTCAAAGGTGGGAAATAGGAAGATAAGGCAGATACGTATGAGGTTGTTTTTTTGTTTGTTTGTTTGTTTTTTTTAAAAAGATCCCAGAGCTAATTGAGAGCAAAGCAGGAGTTAAAACAGGTGGTGTGGGCCGGCCCAGTGGTGCACTGGAGAGTGCACCGCTTGGGAGTGCAGCGGCGCTCCCGCCGAGGGTTCGGATCCCATGTGGAGACCGGTTCCTGCTCGCTGGCTGAGCGCGGTGCGGACGCGACACCAAGGGTTGCGATCCCGTTGCCGGTCCCCGGTACAGGCGCAACACCGAGGGTTGCGATCCCATTACTGGTCAGTAAAAAAAGACAAAAAGGAAAAAAAAAAAAAAAAAAACAGGTGGTGTGAGGAAAGTGGAGACAGACTGGTTGGGCTCCCTCACCTCGTATCTTGCTGACCATAACAGCATGTCTGTTGTAAATATGTTAACTCCACGTGTCTGCCGAAGTGTTCCTTGGCTGTCTGACTCACACCCATGTATTACTTGGCTATCTGACTCTAGTATAAAAGACAATGGCTCTGATCCATGGGGGGCTGAGCTCGCATCTGAATAAAGCATGTCATCCTTGCCAATGGCTCCCAGGATCTTTCCAGTTACCTAGCTCGCAACCTGCATATGAGGGGTCTGTGACCCAGTCTGCACAGGATGGGTTTGAAGGGTGTGTGACTCAGTCTAACAGGTGGAAATAAAAAATAGGAGAGGCCAGAGACCATAACTAACCTACAAACCAATGTTTGGCTATCACTAGCCTGTGTAGATCATTTTAATCTAAAATGTTATTCTTAAAAGGACTTATACTCTCAAATAGTAGTTTTTAACCAGACCAACAGCATCAGAAACTCTGGGCATGGGAACCAGCAGTCTGTCTCTAACAAGCCCTTCAGGAAGTTCTTTCCTGATGCTAGTTAGAGTTTGAGAACCACTGCTCTAAAACTCAAGAATTCTATGTTTTTTTCCCCACTTTACCACCTTTTCCATAAATAGGATACAATGTAGTACAGTTCTTTTTCTGATTTGCTACCTAGACATGGTAAAAACAAAAAAAAGAACAAAGTTTAAAATACAGGGAAGGGTCCAGGTATCTGTATACTATGTGCTCATAGGAAGCAGTCAGAACTTTGCAGCATGTGACAGTCCATTGTCGGCTGTCATTTGTGATTGCAGCACACAGTAAACATCCAGTGGGAGATGAGAAACTTTAAAAAAAATTTTTTTGTAAACCCAATAATGGTATCAACAGCTTTTTAATGCTTGCATAGCTCATATTTTACCAGTGAATCAGAGAACAGCTGATTGTGTTATTTTGTCTGTCCAGTACGATGGCATGATGACATCGTTACTGTTTTTTGTGTCTTTAGAGGTTCTGGTCTCTGAGCACAGGTGCAGCGTTACCCAGTGACACTGCAGGGCTTGGCAGCACTGGGCTGACACCTGCCCACCCGTGGCATACACAGAAAGTATAGGAGGTCACAGCAGGGAGAGGAATAAAGCTAATTTGCAAAGGAATGACATCACAGAGTCCCCCCCCCCATGTTCCAGAGGACATTACATTCATATATGATACTCTCTACTTCTAAACTTGTTTAACTCAAAATGTTCAGCTGCTGAAGATGTGCTATGCACATGAAGACTTGTTACTCTCTTGCTCAGAAGCTTTCAGGATTAGGCAAAATTCTGCTTCCAGAATTAACAAATTCTTTGCCCTATCTTTTAAGTCCCACCACAAAATAACATCAGTAACCTTCATAGGCAAGTCTTCCTAAATGTGTCTTCGTGCATTGCAGGCACTGAGGTGCTGACTTGATTGGAAAAACTTCACCAGAGGTTTCATAGATCCATAGTGGGTGGAACCTTCGGGTTGGGAGAGACCTTAGAGGCAACTAGTCCTACTCCTCACTAATTGATCAGCATTTTGGACTCCTAGCTGTTTGTAAGACATGCCCCAGGCTCATATAACACATACTGAAATCCACCTGCCCACCGCCTCCTCACGTGGAGATACTTTCAGTTGTAAGTATCTACCTCTTTCCCAGAGGCCCGAGCCAGTTCTCTGCCCTGTAAGCAATTCCCTTTGGTCCCTTTTGGCATTTCCCCTCTTCTCTTTTATGCAGCTGCCATTCATTCACTGAGAAGACAATTACTGCACACCTGCCGGGTGCCAGACCCTGTGCTGAGCACGGGTGCATTCTGCCTACAAGTCTGCAAGCCAGGAGGCACTGTTTTTCACTCCTTGTTTTTCTGAAGTTTTTACTAATTTGCTTCACCAGCACGAAACAAATGTTTGTTGAATGTGACTGTCTATATGGAGAAAGTTAAAATTCTTGTTTTTCTCAATTCGCATGAGTAAATACTCCTATTGTTCCCATAGTGGTTGTGTTGCCAGGGAGGTGATGGGGGACTGGTGGGGGGTAGAGTGGGTTGGAGATTGTAAAGCTACACGACCATGCCAGTTGTTGGGTTGAGGCAATAGCTACACTAATTGTATGGCTAGGCATTTCATAACCAAAGCCAAAACATTTCATTATTTTAGTTATACTAAGTTTCCATTTGTATTGTCAGGGCTAGGGCTCAGACCCTTCAAACC